TGATCCCCACCTCACCACAACCTCCTTTCAAGTCATGCTAAAGGGCTACAAGGCCCCTCCGGGGCTTCCTCTTCTTCACACTAAACTGCCCCAGTTCCCTGAGCTGTTTCTTATAAGACTTGTGCTCCAGATCCCTCACAGCTTCCTTGCCCTTCTCTGGACATGCTCCAGGGCCTCAATTTCTTCCTTGTACAGAGGGGCCCAAAACTGAACATAGTACTCAAAGTGTGGCCTCACCAGTGCTGAGTGCGCAAATCTGATGGAAAGGACTGGATGCCATTTACTACTGAAAAAAAAAAGAGGCTAGAGTTAACACTTCTAGTTCATGCTTTGCCATAGTAGACAATATTATCTGTATAATCAAGGAAGCATAAAATGTAACACTCTGATGTGATTAACATGTCCAAAGCTACTGCTGTTGGTGACTGAGCAAGATAATGCAAGCATTTCACAGTGTCCTTTTTAATAGGAGGTGTCTGAAATTAGTAAAGGCAGCCAGATGTGATAGTTAGGCACTAGGGTGTTGATGGGAACTAGCTTGTTTCCATGCAGACTGTGGCTACTCAGGACTGCTATGAGACAGCAGCTAACCCAATTGGTTTGGACTAGTTAACTCAATGCTGCAGAGCTGGAAGCCAGAAAGGCAGCTTGTGCTGGGGTCCCGCTTACGAACCGGGAACATAACAAAAAGAGCTCACAGTAAGAAGATAGCCACTGTGGCATGGCACAGCAGTCCCGGGATCCCAGAAATGGCACTTTGCTGTGCCAAAAGTTATGCTGTTAAATAAACATAAGAATATTTCAGCCTCCAAGAAAAATAACTATATCAAACTAAGGAACTGAGTTGATGGTAAGACATGAGAGATCTGGCATTTACCAACTGGGACAAATGAGGCTCTGTTCCTTCAGAAAAGCACAGCCCAGATGATTTGGCCACTTTCGCAGGAGAAGTTCTGGCCCACTCTTAGTATCACTCTTACACTGAACAGAGCACACTGGCTGGCAGATGGCAGAGCCCACTGATACACTGCAGCACCAGTGATGCTGCATTATCTGAATCTGTGCAATAGTGGGCCCCATACTTCCAAATTCGCAAGACCCTACTGAGCTGATCAGGACAAGAACGCTTGTTCAGCCTTTCAAGCTCCTTATGTCTTCATATATACCCTGCTGAGGCATGTAGACCACAGATTAAAAACTGATGTTCCTTTTTACGTTTTGCATCACGTCAAACACTGTTATCAGCACCCTCCTTCCATCAAAGACAGTGATAAAATAGAAAAAAATTCTCCTACCTTCTTTGACCGCTGCCTCCCACACTGGAAGTGGAAGGATGATCAGCACTGGTTTCATAAGTATATCATGCTCAGCAGATACAGACAGATGTTGATAAACTGCAATTATCTGGTTGTAGCGCTTTCTCCAGGCCTTTAAGAGAACCCATGTTTAGGTTCATCAGCTGCTGGCAATCAGCTTCAGAAATGCAGAAGATAAATTAGGGATGAGGTGCCCTTAACACTTACGCTGACTTACAACCATGAGCACGGTTTGAATTTCCAGTGATCCCGTGTGAAGCAAGCAGTTGGACTCGATGGGATGATTGTGCCTCTCTACTCTCCATTGTGAGGCTCCACCAGGAGTGCTGCCTCCAGGCCTGGAGTCCCCAGCACAGGAAGATTGTGGAGCTGTTGCAGCAGGTTCAGAGGAGGACCATGAAGAGGAACAGCAGTGAAGCACTTCTCCTAAGAAGACAGGCTGAGGGAGCTGGGCTTGTTCAGTCTGGAGGCTCCAAGGAGATCTCACTGCATCTTTCCAGTACTTAAAAGGAGATTCTAAACAGGAAGAAGATCAAATTTTTACTTGGGCATATAGTAAAAGGACAATGGGAACTGGTTTTAAAGTACAAGAGGGGAGATTTAAATTAGATGTTACGAAGAAATTCCTTACTCAGAGAGTCACTGGTACAGGCCCATAGAGAAGCTGTGGCACTCCATCCCTGGAGGTGCCCAAGGCCAGGTTGGATGAGGCCCTGGGCAGCCTGGTGTGGTGGGTGCAGAATAATCTCATCTGTCGATGCTCTGGAGGAACTCGAGATGCCTTTCGCAGTGCAGCCCAAGATGCTGTTGGCCTCCTTTGCCACAAGGGCGCATTGCTAGTTCATGTTCAATTTGGTGTCTGGAACTCTGGGTCCTTTCCTGCACAGCTATTTCCTGGACAGTCAGCCCTGAGCCTGTAATGGTGTCTGGGTCTCTTCTTCCTCACTTACTGGATTTTACATTTCCCCTCACTGATCCCCATCAACGGATTTCTCCAGCCTGGCAAGGTCCCACTAAATAGCAGCACAACCCATCTGCTGTATCAACCACTCCAACCAATTCAGTATCACCTGCAAATTTGCTGATGGTACTCACTGTCCAGTCATCCACATTATCAATAGAGATTTTAAACTATACTATCCCCAGTATTAACATTCAGGGTACACCACTGGTGACTGACCTCCAGCTGGACTTTGTAAATCCATGCTAACTACACCCAATTACCTTCTTGTTCTTCACGTGCTTGGAATCATTTCCAGGATCAGTTGTTTCACCATTTACTTGGGGGAGTGATGTGAAGTTAACTGTCTTGTAGTTTGCTAGGCACTCATTTCTGATGATCTGCAGATAGCAGTGACATTGCTTTCTGTGAGTCTGGCAGAGCCCCCCTCACTTGCCGCAGCCTTTCAAGACTGGAGTGTCCTAACCACAACATCAGCTAGATCCCTTGGCATATGTACATACACTCAATCAAGGCCCATGAACTTGTGTATGATGTGTTTGCCTGAATGTTCCTAACCTGTTCCTTTCTATACCAAGTCATCCTTGCTCCATATTTCCCTTTGGTCTCAATGGTGCCCAAGATTCCTTAGTGCAGGTCTTTGCATTAAAAGCTGAAGTGAAGAAACAATAGATGAATACCTTGTCCTTCTCCCAGTGTTCCCCCCACCCCCCCCTTTTTTTTTTTTTTTTTTTTTTTTTTTTGTCACTGGCTCCCTTGCCCCATTAATCAGTGGGCCCAGATTTAACCTACTGTTCCTTTTACTGTTGATGTACCTGTAGAAACCTTCCTGTTGCTCTTCACAACCCTCACCAGACTCAATCTGAGATGGCCTTTCACTTCTTTAAACCCAGCTCTACATGCTCTGACAGATCTTTATTCTTTCTGGGAAAAGCCCTTTATTAAAAAAAAAAAAAAAAAAAAACCAACATTGTTATGACAGCTTATTACAATGTACCTAAATATCAAGTACCGTGCAGACTTCTTACTCTACCCTGAAAGAATCCACTACAGCTTGAAGTTAATGTGAGAGGCACCGATGGCTTTATCTGACAGTTTATTTTATGCGCCCTTGGCTAATCACTGTAAAAAGGAACTGGCTCATTATAACAACTCCTGTAAGATAGTTACTGTTTATAATCAAGAGAAGTTATACAACATGTAAAACAAGTTCTGGTTTTATAGCATAATTATTTTGACTGGGAAAACAAACAAAATTACAACATTTTCTCAGTTCCAGCAGGCATTTCATACTTCTACTTAGGAGGGACAGGAAAGAAAGAAAGAGTTAAGCTTAGCTCTCCTTTATAAAGCATGGATTTCAAGGAACAACCCAAACACCATGAAGACCTATAGAATCATCTCAAATATAAATAGTTGCTCATTTCCAGGATTTCAAGGGGCTGTGAACAGATGCATGTCAGAAACCAGGAAAATGGCTCAATGCCTTTGGGATTCCCCCCCCAATGGAAGAAAGGGGGAGGAAAGAAAAACAACTGGACCAAAACTTCACTCTTACTCTCTTATAAAGTATAGCTCTTGAGAATGAGAGTATCAGCTACAGCAGCCAGATCTTTATAGTTCCAGATAAGGGCTGAGATCTAGACAGATCTATAATGATTGGTTTTGATAAGTGAAAAACTGGAGCTCTGTCTCTAACATTGCCTAGAGCAGTTCCTCTCCCAGACACATTACAACCAGATTAGGAAAGACATTAGATAAGAAACAGTGCATTCATGAGCAGAGGTTTGTTCAACAACATACATTTTAAGCACTAGCAAAGTATTATTATTACTGCTTTAAGCAATCTTCCTTTACAATCTCTTTGGTATCTTATCTGGTACTGACCCACGTATTAAGAAGAGAGAGTAATTTCTTGCAGTCCTTCCCCAGTTTGAGGTTTCTGCACCTGTGCATCTCCCTGTCAGTTCATATACATATATATTTTTTAAATTTACTCTATCACCAAGATCTAGGAACTTCCTGTTCCACACGAGATGCTCTTTAATACTTCAGATACTGCAGTTTACAATATACCAGCCAGTGAGTTCCAACAAACACCTGGTAGTATGGAAAGACTGGAAACTTGAACATACGAAGAAGCTGTTCTTTTCCATCTTCTTGTTAATCAGAGGCTATTAAATGTAATAAGGTCCCTCCTTTCAACAGGGAGATAAGGTATTTTACATTTTCCACTTCAGAAACAGTTTATTTACATCTAAGAACAGGAATAGACAACAACAAACACTGGTGCTCTGTATTAGTCTATGAAAATCTCAAATGTCCAGGCCTAGTTAATCTAAAGAACTACATGTGTCTCAAATTTGGAAATACCAGAGAATACTATATACAAAATGTTATCCAGAAACAGCACTCTTTTGTACTTGAAAATGATTTTTCTTTGTCCCCAGTTTTTCCTCTTAGTGAGGCAGCACAGCACACCAGACATCAACTAAAAAGTAACCATTAAAAAACAAAAAACCAAAAAGACTATTATCACCAACACCTTGCTCCTTGCCTCTCTATCCCCTCTGTAGTTCAAAAAACAAACTCATTCAATGTCTTTATTTATTTTCTTATAACAAAACATCTTTTTTTAAATATAAAAATATCAAAAGTCAAAGAGGCTACAGTCATTATTTTCGAAGGAAAAGCGGAGGGAAAGAAGTTGAGAGTAACCTTGAGTTCCCCTAGAGGTTCCCCTTCAGGGCCCTGAGGCTGGGGAGCAGCTGGACTGCACTGAGGCGCTCCTCTACATCAGCCTTCCAGCAGCAGCTGATGATTCTCTGAAGCCTTTGGCCCACCGGTGACTCCTGGAAGATAGTGGCCTCCAGAGAAGGGCGTAAGTTGTAGGCTACCACTGCATAGAGCACGTATTGCCGTTCGCCCAGGTAAGGCTGCTCCCGCATGACAATCTGCCAGAGGGTGATGGCAAAGGAGTAGATGTCTGCTTTGGCAGTCACCTTCTCGCCCTTGAGGAGCTCAGGAGCACGGTGGGTGTACGTGCCCCCTTGCTGACAAACATGGTGGCTCTGGAACAAGCCTTCCTCCAGTCTCTGGGAGCAGCCGAAGTCTCCGATCTTGCACACTCCATGCTCAGTGATGAGGATATTGGCAGGCTTCAGGTCGAGGTGCACGATGCCCTGTGAGTGAAGGAAGGCTAAGCCAGTCACTATGTCACATGAGTAGCACACAGCCTCCTCCATGCTCAGAGCCTTCCTCCCACATCCTCCTTCCTCCTCCTCGCCCAGCCTCCACACATCTCTAGTGCCATAGATGACATGGTGCAGGGTGATGTTGCCAACGTATTCCATGATGATGGTGCCCAGGCTGTTCTGGCTGGCAGGAGCACACGTGCTGGCAGCCACCACACGTACCACATTGTCATGCTGCAGTCGGGCTACGTTCAGCTCAGCCCAGAAACTCTGTCGGGATGCCAGCCGATTTTTGCTGCTCTTCTTCACCTGCTTCACAGCCACAGTCACACCATGGTAGGTGGCCTTGTAGACAGCCCCAAAACCCCCAGATCCCAGGGGCTGCAGGAGGCAGAGCTGGTCCCAGTCAATGGAGCACCAGGCCAAGCGCGGAGGCAGGCGGCGGGTCCTGGGTGAGGGGGTCCCTTCTAGGAAGGTTTTTCCATCTTTGCCAGGAATAACTACAGGGCTGCTGCAAGGTCTCAAGTCTGCAGATGGGGAGAGCTCCAAAGGAAGAAAGCTATTAAAAGGAATAGGTGATGGCATAATAAGATGCCAGAAAAAGTTACTAGGACAGTAGACTAGAAAGCTTCTTCATGGCGTCTTCCAAAAGCTCTTTTATTCTCTCTGCACAACTTTCCCCTCCCACCCCTAATGATCCGCATCTGTCTCAATGAGCTCACCCTATAATCAGGTGCACCTGAGAACATTTTTTTTCACCCTTAAGTAAATCTCTAGAAAGTAAAGGTATATGGATTTTAAACTAAAATGTATTCGTTCACGTGTATTTTGCATGATTTTTAATCACAAGAGACGAGAAAGATACTTTGCTCCACGAATGCCTCTATCAAAAGGGCCTGGCAGTAAATAAATTGAGTGCGTTTTGCTGGGGCTATAGATAACAATGGTAACTGTTAGATGCATTTTCTCAGAGGACACAGCTGAGATAGTAACCATTAGCATTTGGTAAGCCTATGGCAGGCATAACTAAATTTAAAAGCGAGTTTAAGGGGACCCGCAACTCATGTGTGATGGGAGGGGTTTGGCTGCTGAAGTCTGCCCTTCCTGGGTGGTTAGGTAAGCCTAACAGTAGCAAAAGGACTGGCTGATGAGCATCACATATTGTGTGTTGGCTATAGCAATGAGCATTATGCACAGGGGTTTCATTTTGTACAGCTAAATGCTTTTGAACATTCTAGCAAGTATCTTTCCATACTTGCAAACAAATCAATTGGAAAGTTTGGTCTCCATTTCCCACCTCCTTATCCTTCAGGTCCTTCATCTGGATGTCAACATGAGATGAATGAGAACAGAAAACCTAGGTTATCACCCAGTGATGTGAAACAGATCAGCTAAGGGAGATTTAGATAAATAGGTGCTAACGTGTGGTGGGAGTTGTTATCAAGGTAGAGGTCAGAGAGCTGGGGATGCAAGAGGGTCTCACAGGGACAGGGCTCTGCTCTGACATCAGCTGTGCTGGGACACTTGGGGGCAGTGGAGGACACCAACAAGGAGCCTCATTGCAGTTTTAAAAATGCTGCAAAGCAACCAGTGCAGACAGCAGGTCCCAGCAGTGCTGGGGTTGTATGCCTGCACGATGGCTCCACTTAAAAATCTTCACAAGAAATGCATTCTCAGTAAGTGAGCTGTGATGATAACAAAAAGCTGTGATAAGCAAATCCACCTATACTGGAGACGGAAATGACTTCTTAAGGTTTATTTTGCAACAGCCGTAGAGGATCTAACTCTGGCACGGTCTTATGTGACATATAGTACATAAATACAGCAGAGAAGTGATCTCTGCTATAAATTCTCCAAGAACTTCACCTATCTCGTGGAAAAAGTACACACACTGCAACCTTTTCTCCAGCGTTAAGGTCACAGAGAAGCTTAACAGGGAAGCTTGGGTGAGAGAGAGGAGTCAGTGGAGTACTGCCAGGTGTGGGCAAAAAGTCTATGAGCTGCTCAGGAATTGCAGGATAATTCTATGAGATGTTGAATGTTGCAGAACACCGTAACAAAAACCAGAGGGTTAGTGTTAGGACTTTTCCCAAATTTCTTTGCCTGCAGTCTCATTCAGAATAATATGGCAGACTTTCCATTGTATTTTTTTTTTTTTTTTTTTAACTCCATGTCTTTTTTCAGTAATTTTCCTTTTCTGCTGAAAACCTTTCTGTTTTTCTCCTCTCGTGGCAAGAATGTATTACTCTTTGGGAACACACTGAACCTCTTGAACAGGAAGAGGGGCGTACTTTGGGGCTGAAGCAGACTGAATGTGGCCGACTTGTCTCAAGCCAACTGCTGAGGGCTGGAGCAGGGGGACATCCAATTATTTTTGTTGTAAATGCAGTTAGAGCCAATCTGAAACCAACCAGGCTTTTATCTTTTACAGAACATATTTTCTTGTGCTCTCAACACGGCCCAGTTTCTTCTCTTGAGACACAGACACCGCAGGACATCCTTGCCACATTCAGCTTCACCTTACCTCCCAGCCACGTTCAGCTCCACTGTGCCTGCCCAGAAGAAGGATGCTGGGTTGGTTGCCCCCCTCATCCCAATGCCTTCCCCAGGCGTACCCATACTGGGCACCCAGGGAGGCCTTCAGACATGCTGTTGCCATGTTGCTGCTATTTCTGCAGCAACATAAGGAAAAAGAAAGCTGTGTGAACCAGTCCTTACCAGCAGGGAACTTCAGCATGTCTTGAGCTTTGGCTGCTGTAAGTGTCAGTAAAACAAACATGTAATATGAACTTTTAGAAGTAACAGAATCACAGAATCACAGAACGGCCAGGGTTGGAAGGGACCTCAAGGATCATGAATCTCCAACCCCCTGCCACATGCAGGGCCACCAACCTCCACATTTAATACCAGACCAGGCTGCCCAGGGCCCCATCCAACCTGGCCTTGAACACCTCCAGGGACGAGACATCCATAACCTCTCTGGGCAGCCTGTTCCAGCACCTCACCACTCTCTCTGTAAAGAACTTCCCCCTGACATCCAACCTAAATCTCCCCTCCCTCAACTTAAAACCATTTCCCCTTGTCCTGCTGTTATCAACCCTTTCAAAGAGTTGATTCCCCTCCTGTTTGTAGGCTCCCTTCAGGTACTGAAAGGCTGCAATGAGGTCACCCTGCAGCCTTCTTTTCTCCAGGCTGAACAAGCACAGCTCCTTCAGCCTGTCCTCATAGGGGAGGTGCTCCAGTCCCCTGATCACCTTTGTGGCCCTCCTCTGGACCCTCTCCAACAGCTCCCTGTCCTTCTTGTACTGGGGGCTCCTGACCTGGACACAGTACTCCAGATGGGGCCTCACAAGAACAGAGTAGGGGGGGACAATCACCTCCCTGTCTCTGCTGGCCACCCCTCTTCTGATGGAGCCCAGGATACCATTTGCCTTCTGAGCCACAAGAGCGCACTGCTGGCTCATGTTAAGTTTTTCATCCATCAAGACCCCCAGGTCCTTCTCTGCAGGGCTGCTCTCAAGGACCGCTCCTTCTAGTCTGTATGGATGTCTGGGATTCCTCCAGCCCAAGTGCAAAACTCTGCACTTTGCCGTGTTGAACCTCATCAGCTTCACCCAGGCCCACCTTTCCAGCCTGCTGAGGTCCCTCTGAATGGCATCCCTTCCTTCCACTGTGTCAACCACACCACTCAGCTTGGTGTCATCAGCAAACTTGCTGAGGGTGCACTCAATTCCATCATTGATGTCACTGATAAAGATGTTAAAGAGCACCGGTCCCAACACAGACCCCTGGGGGACGCCGCTCATTACCAGCCTCCACCTGGACATAGAGCCACTGATGACCACCCTCTGTCTGCGGCCTTTCAACTAATTTCTTATCCTCAAGTGGCCCCCCCATCAAATCCACATGTGGTGGGGATGTGGTGGGGGACCATGTCAAAGGCCTTGAACAACAGCAAAGCGTGCAGCCTGTTCCCTAAGGGCTGCAGTATGTGGCAGTGCCAATAACTTGTGGCAGGATCCTGACATTCCAGGCTTCTGTGCCACACTTCTACAATAAAACGTACTTCTCATGCTGCAGCGGCTTCTCAGCTTCAGCCATGCTTCAAACTGAGGAACACAGCATCACCCATGGGTATCTCAGCAGTAGTCCAAGAACTCCATCTGCCAGTAGTGTTAGTTACTACCACTGTTCATAGATTTGCAAAACAGAGGACAACTCTGATACCAAAGGCTGCAGTCTAACACTGACACAGGTGCAGCACACCACAGCAGGTACGTACCAAATGCCCGTGTCCTTCCTTGTAAAGAGGAGTTTGCGTTTCATCAAGACACACTGCTCTCATGCTTGCTTACAGCCACATTTTTGTCTAAACCATAAAAAGGATAGAACTAAGGGTCAGAACTATCTCAGAGTTTCATAGAACCATAGGACTGTTTGAATTGGAAGAGACCCTTAAAGGTCATCTGGTCCAACTCCCCTGCAATGAACAGGGACACCTACAGCTGCATCAAGCTGCTCAGAGCCCCATCCATCTTGACCTGGAATGTTTCTAGGGATGGGGCACCCACCACCTCTCTGGTCAACTTATTCCAGTGCCTGACCACCCTTATCGTAACAAACTTTTCCCTTATATCCAGTCTAAATCTCTCTTCATTCTGTCTTTCCCATTTCCCATTGTGCTATCACTACAGTCCCTGCTGCAGAGTCTGTCCCCTTTGTTCTTAAAGCATTTAGTTAAATTCTTCTCCATGACCATTACTTTATTATTTGCGCATCTGCTCAGTGAAAAATGCACCAACCCCTGTTAGGCCTGAGTGTTCAGTGGCTTCTAAAAAGTGCTTTCCAGTATTAAGGTAGCACTGTGTTTCTATTGAATTCCTACATTTACCTCCTAAGTACTTACTCTGCTCTGAAAACAACATGGCTCCTTAGCCTTTGTGACTTCTGAGGTTTCTTTACCCTTTCTAAATCAAAGCTTTCTTTTTTTCCACTTGCTGACAGTCTCTGTGATCTCACTTTCGGGTTTGAAGATGAACTTACATTCCTTCTCACTTTTTTCACAGTGCAAGTGTTGCTTCCAATCACACCTCACAGGCCTCTAACGGTATTCTGAATTGCATGAGCGCAGTTCTGATAAAATCAATTGTGCAGGCGTAAGCGATATCATCATTTGAAGCCAGTCTATACATACAGCCTGCTCTGAGGATAGGCCACAATCAACTGTTTATTTAACTGCCAGGACGAGCCAGAAGTGAATACAGTTTGTATTTTAGAGTTTGGTTACTTTGCAAATGACACCTTGTAGTAGCAAACGCAGACAAGTTTTCATTAATGTGCTGAGAGGCAAATCTAAATGCCAACAAGCGCATCTGTGGGAGTTGTGATGTGATCTTACAGCGCTTCTTTAGGATAGAGCCATAGTAATAACCATTTTGAGAGGTTAAATCCTCGTTTATAAATAATAAGATCAAGTTTCAAACACACACACTGCCAGACAGTTGCTTGATACTTTTTATTTTCATCCCAGAAAGGTTTCAGAGCACCAAGCAGAAGCTCTCCCTGCTGCAATGCTCTGAGGTGTTACCTGGAGGCACCTGAAGCAAAGCAGGGGAGTTTCATAGCCCATTCACTGTGGCCCCTCTGACCACAAATGGACCAGGGATAACAACTGGGAACCTAGTGTTGTGGGTTAATATCACAGTTGCAGAAGAGCACCTTGAGACAAGCTGAGATGGTCTAAATTCAGGTGGGAGGATGACAAAGGTGAAACTCCGGACCACAGATATGGTGGTTATTTCAGATATTTCAGGTGACACAGATATGGGTGCCTCCCCCTGTGGGATTACTGCTGTCATAATAACACGTCATGCAATGCTTCCAGCCACGTTGTCCAAGAGTGCTTTTGCAGTCCTGCCCCTGTAGCACTGCTAACAAACAGCTTTGCTGGGTTGTGGGAAGATAACAAAGAGCAATGGTGGAATTTGAGAGTTGTAACTTGGGGACTAGGAAATGGCTTCTGTGCTCAATGAGCAACGTGAATCGCACGCAGCAAAGGACCTATGGGACAATGTTAGTGCTACGTGACAGCTGCTTTCCCAGGCACAGCAGATGTAATTCTGGTGCTTGGGACTGAACCCTTGTGTTGCAGGTGGTACGTGGAAGGGGCAGTGGATCCCAGCATCTCACAAAACCCCTGAGCACTGATTACACTCAGCTCCGTTACCGTGATGATCACTAGGCCACAGGGGACAGATTTCAGTGAGTTTGGCAAGTTAGTCTATGCTTACTTGTCCTCAGTGTTAGATAATTCCTGCTCCTGTGTTAGAGTTTGAAGGCTGCTCCTTTATCTTATGTCCCCTTAGTCATACAGAATGTATATTCTATTTTCATTTTCAGTGTAAGTACTTCTGAGAGAACTTAAGTATGTACCCATGACCACGTGTGCAACCATTTAATAATAAAGGCAATAAGCCAGAGCTTAAACTCAAAGGCACAGCCCACAGAACTCTACTGAATTTCTATCTGATGCTTCACAGGCATAGCTGACAAACACCTTCCTCACAGCAGGCTGTGCACCCTGCAGATAAACTGCTGCCTCTCGTAGATAAATCGAGTAATTGGAAGAAACTCTTCCAATGTGTCTGGGAAACCAAGCGCTGTGTTTAATGGGAGATACCTCTACCAACTGCGTGATTCACTTTGGACTTGAAAAACACTGAAGTTCCATGCTTACATTTTTTGAAGTGAATCAAAATGTATTTCTCAACTTTTCCAGGTTTCCCCATGCATGCATACATGTACACATAAATACACACAATACATGCACACACTTTTGTATATATATATATACACACGCACAAATGTAGGCAATATACTGATTTTCAGCAACTGTCACTATTTTGGTACTCTGCATTCTTTTACACCCACCGAGTGATTTATACGAAATTACACTGCACCATTCTTCTTTGTACAGTGCAACAGTGAAAAGCAGTGCCATGGGCAAACTCCCAATTCAAATGAATTTCAAACCAATCATAGCATACATTACAGTCCTGAATCCACAGCGTTCTGCTGTTAGCTGATGTATCTTTGGTGCACCGGGTGGCAAACGAGGTTTGTAGCTGGTGATTTTATGACACAAACATCCCTGAAAGAGACAGAGTTGTGGGATGGCAACGGCATGGAAAAACACAACTATTAATTACATTCTAAAAATACTTACTAATCAGAAAAGATTGATTCCTTGAAGACATGTGGGTCACTGCAACAAGCAAGTATATTTAAAAATACTGGGCAAGATGTTACACACTGTGCTTATTATTAGTTGAGAATGTTTATGTTGAAATACCTGGAATATAACACGTGACCAGGAACTTGTTATTTCACACGACTGTGGTCTGTCTTTTCCAACATCACTATCTCCACTGTTGTTCAAAAAATGGAAGTAAGACATTGCTGTCTACTTGCCAGGGGCACTAGCCAGTAATGATAAGCAGTAGTTAATCCTCTATTACGTTTCCCAAACTTGTAAGCACACACTAAATTTTGTAATCCAGCTTATCTTGCTGGCCTACTTGTTGCCTGTTTGGGATCTCAAGCCATTGCTGTGCCAGCTACAGCAACTGCCACTCCACAAACCTGCATTTCAATCCGGTGCAATACATGTTTTAATTTGCAAAGGAGGGAAGCCAACAGTATGTAGCTGCTCAGTTCTTGCAAACCTGACAGAAGCTCTGGGTCACAGGTTTTTGATTTCTCTGTCAAAAAAGCCCCAGACATTCTGTATGTTAGGGCACACTTATTAATAGGAAGGAAAAAAGGGAGAGCAAAGGGAGAAAGCATAATCTTTTTCTTCTATTCCTGCAGGGCAGAGAGACCAGATATGCAGATGATATTGAAGGACCATTTTTCTGTATGTTCTTACAGATGTTTTGGCCAGGGACGGCTACAGCAGAGAGAAGGAAGGGATGAATGGCTGTGGTTTTGTACAGCTCCAGTCATTTTTCCAAATGTTTCTTTTAACAAAGCATAATTTCTTTTCTTGCCAAAGGAAGAGGCAAGATGTGAAAAAGAATTCATTGAGCTTGAAAGCCCCTCAGTATACTGGTAAAACCCTGAACTTCTGCCTTTTTGCCTAGCTCTAGCCTTCCAGAAATTGAGACGGGACACCTGGGCTTTTTACCCATTTAGTTAATACAGAAGAAAAAATTTACTATCTCTTTTAAGAAATAAGAAAATTTTGAAAGGAATTTAGAAAAATTCCCTTCCCTGTTGAAGATGTGCCAGTTTATATGAGGCATAAGAACAGAGGTTCTTGTCATGTTGAGGATTTTCAACCTCACACCCAACTCCTTCAAGTCTTGGAAGAGGCTCCAGACTTTAACAGAGAAAGCTCTGGAGCGATCTTGCAAAGAGATGTCTGAATGTAACACAGATGCCATCCATGCAACCACCTCCCACTTGTCACAGAGGGGATCAGTTTGGAAGGAGAACATCTTAATGCTGTTATGGTGGATGACACCATCTACCAGAGTGAGACAGGGAGGAGTTCTCTCAGGGGAGCGATGGGGGCTTTGCAGAATCTCAGATAGTTCAGTGCTGCACTACAGTTTATGTCTTCACCTTCCTTCTATACCTTTCAGGCAAATTTGGACAAGAAGCAGTTGAAGACAGGAACTGCCTCTTCCTCCATCTGTAGAGCTGTTGACTCTTACCACACCACGGCCAACTCTCAGTTAGAAACCTGTGACACAAAAGTGATAAGTCAGTTCAGAGGAAACAGCTGGGAGTCACAAGAAAGCAAAAGTGTCTGTATGACACAGTCAATGACTCTGGAAAGATCCTTTCTTTCAGACTGGCGAACAGGAAAAAATCTAAAAATTAAAGAATTGGAAGAGCAGGGCGTTAGAAATATATATTTTGAAGAGCAATAAAATGTGACTTCAAAGCAGTTTCACAGCAAATGTTAAGTCTTTTACTTTCCTGGAAAACAGTTCATTCTGGGGAAACGGCTATATGGGGAAAAAACACTTTCTGCAACTTTCTGCAATGGTGGGTAGGCTGCTGGCTCCGCGGTACCTCTTTGTGCATCGGTCAGGTCTGTCAGCAAGGTTTCCTCTGCAATGTCACGGGCAGACAGGAGGTGTGTGATATCAAAACAGTGAAGTTTCTCCTGGAAGCGTATCAGAGAGGCAACCCACACACTGTGCCTGTAACACATGCCACAGTCTACAGTTTCTCCTACAAACTGTAACAATAAAGATAAATTACTTGCATTCATCTGAAGGAATGGAGCGAATCACTCGCCCGTTTCTCCCACATGAGACCCCCAAACTCACCTTCCAGCTCTCCACAGCATTTCAAAGGGCAGTTTGATGGCAAATGCAACTGCTTTCTTCGGTTAGAATCTGTCTGGTCACAGACACAGCAGCATCATCCAATCTGTTCCTTGGTAAAATCATGAAACGCAGAAACTTACGCGTGCTAGATTGTCTGAAAAACTGACATTTTACCAGTCATCAGTCAGAAAGAGTCACACCTGTGCAAAATCAGAGTAACTACACCCAGCAAAACTGGATGCATGTAAAATTACTTATTGTCATCCCAAGCATGCAGACCGAGATTATCTATTGAAATGCCAGGCGTAAGTTATTCATTAACTAAAACCATTCTGTAATTTTATTGATATATTTTGTGGAGTTCACATATTTTTGTACAGCAAACATAACACTGTAGGCCACAAGAAGCTGCAGCACTATTGTTTAATAGCAGCAAGGTATATTTTATAATCAGGGTATGTGGACAATAAATAGTCTGTTTCTTTGGATGTGAATGTTTAAAATGAAGTTCTGCTGCAGCTTCATAATGTGATTGCTATTTTACAGAGCTTATACACAAAAATATATACGCAATCTTTTTGTCTATATTTTATACAAATACAACAGTAGTTTGTGAATACATTTTAAAGTACATATACATGATAAGCAACTCAATTTCCCATATCACAGGATAGCAAATTTTTAAATGCAAGAAACATACACAAATTCTGTCTGGAATGCAGGGTTTTCTGTGTTCTTTTTTCTCTATTTTTGACTCAAAAATTTTATCATTGAAAGATTTTAGCATTCGAGTCCAAACAATTTTCCCACTATCTAAAAAATAGAATTTCAGCAATCCGAGTCAGGTTTGGGTGTGTCATCATTCCCCAATATACTCTTTCCCAGTTTTTGTCTAAATTCAGAAGCTTTTAGTAATATATAGTATGTTCTTCACTCCACACCATATAAAAAGCCCACATTTAATTTTAACTAAATCATCTATTTTTGTGAACAAGAGCTGGGCTTGTCAGCGTTTAAATTTGCATGTCCAACATTTTACTTCTGCAAGTGCATATGAATACATTGTGGTGTTGTACAAAGTTCATTAATGACAAATTAAGTCACAGTATAAAAATATATCATACAACTATAGGTCTAGTATAGTCCTTTTTTCTATGGGTAAAAATACATCTGAATGAGACAGGGAGGTTTGTAGCACCATGAGAGGAGTTGTATCCCAAGTTACATTAGCAGCATGATCCAATATAACAATATTGCAGGAGTGTTTCTGAGGAGATAAACATTCACTCTGGTTCAACTGTACCACTGAAGCTTATACTGAAAAGTGTTTACATATGATTAGCAATAGTTCTGTGTCACTTCCAGGGCTAGATAACTGTTATCAAAAGACACTGCCTTCCAACAAAGTAAGACACCCTTATTACATAAAGCTTTGGGACTATCCAAACACATTTTGAACTACTGTGGCATTGTTTGTACGCTGAGTGTAATGCTAATGCCTATGGTTTTAATTGTACACTGGGAAGATGCAGAATGGGCAGCTAAGTCTATACAGTTTACTACATACCAGGTAAGAACATTTATTTCGGAGGCTTATCTATAGACTGAGAAGAATACAGGATGAGCTGCTAAACCAGTGTATGAGACAGACATAACGAAGGATGCAGCCCTGCTCCCCTTGACGTCTACGGATGCAGGATCAGGCCCTAAGTTAACTTCAGACAGCAGCATAGCGTTGAGAGCATAGGATAAAAAAATCTGCATCAAATACTGCGTGTTAAATATTTTTGCAATAGTTACCACCCAGAACTCCAGAGGACACAATTTACAATTGGTGAGGACAAACTTTTTCTTTTTCTTTTCTTTTTTTTTTCTTTTTTCTTTTTTTTTCGACTGGTATTCAAAATGGCAGTAGAAGACAGTGTAGTTTGAAACATGTAAACCTAGTAAAAACCATTGTAAAACCCTTAAGAAAGACACACTGGTTCTGTGCAATATAGCAAATTGATAAGAAAACACTGTAAAAATGTACCTGTTTAAAATTACAATGTCTACCATTTTGTACACAAAGCATTATACCAAAGGCCTACATATATGTAATCTAATGGCACTTGAAACAAATTATAATAAAAGGTTTTATAATAAAAAGCATAACCTGTAAGAAACTTTCTTAAAAGGTTTAGGTTTTCTTTTGAAAGTGCTATATCTTGTAATATGTGTAACATAGAGGTTGACCAAGCTTTATTTTAAAAAATATTGGCCTATAATACATGTTTAGCTCACTAGGCAAATGATCCTGAAAATATGTACTCTTAACATTCATTATTAGCTTAATAAAGCAATCAGCTCTGGCTCATGTTTCAGTCAGTATATGGTTTTAAAAAACCGCTACTGCCAAATTAACAATAAATCACTCTATTCCACAATTTACTACTAAATTAAGCACAAGCAACAAGTACACAAAAATATATATATTAAAAAAAAAACCAACAAAACAGAACAAACAAAACAAAACAAAACAGAAACCAACAAACCTCACTAGAAGTTTCGAAGTTGCACAAAGAGTGGTGCACGATCAGCCAGCCCTCCCCCCTCCCTCAAAGAACCAATTTGAAACCTAGAAAACAGGGTTTAAAAAATGACGTTTTAGTAGTTGCCAATACTGACTCTGCCTAAATAATATCCAAAAGCACTAATGTGTTAATATTGCTTACAGTGTCATATCTGCTTCCACACCGTCCTGCATCCTAGCTCAGCGGCACAGGCCGAGCGCAGCCGCCGGCTGCAGCCCTGACTGAATGAGGTTCAATACCTTGTCTGAGGTCCCTGCTCCTCCACTGAAATGTATGTCTACCTCTGAAGTGAAATGTCAACCCCTTCTCAGGAAGCTAAGGCACTAACCAAGGAGTAAGGACTCCGGCTAAGTACTAAGAACTGGGTGTTGGCCGAGTGTTTGTTGGGTTTTTTTCATCGAGTCTGATCAGCGGCTGGGACTGATAAGAGGTGGCACTGCCCTGCGCTGAGTGTCACATGTGCCACATCGACTCCCCTCAGCGAGCATCTGGCCAACTATCTGGCAGCGGCAGAGGAAACCGAACTTATTTGTGCCGCTCGAGCAAAGAACTCCCTCCAGGCCATTCAAAAACTGCCCACAGAGCTGAAGCTCCCAGGGCCTGTGTGCATCACTGTCGGGAAGAAGAGAGCGGCCCATCCATTCCACAGCCGCTGCCAGAGCCGAGCAGAGCATCTCTCTGCTCACAGGGAGAGGCTGGGCTCTGCTTCACGTGGAACAGAGCTCACAGGAGCAAGGGAGGCCGTTGCTCTTCATCCCAAATTGTCTGAAAAGACTCAGAAGAAAGCCAAGTTGTCCCTACGTGCATTGTGGTTGCTGATTTTTAACCAGAAATACATTCTGTGGCGTTCACCTTGTGCTCTGTTCACCTGTGTTTTTCTTTCCTTTATAAAAGTGATGAGAAAAAAACAAAAAAAGCAATATTGAACAAATCATTCAACTAAAGATGTAAGTAAGCAAGCGATCTGTTTCATAGAAACCAGAGGAAGCAGTCATGAAGCAGAGCTAAAAGCCCACTTTGAGATAACAAGCTCCTAAACCCAAAATCTAGGAGCAATTTGTAGAATTTCAAAAGGTATTTTCCTTATTAATACATCCTTATTTTAATGCCTTTGGAACACAAACACATTTATAAAAATGTTATCTTTCAGTAATAAAATTTAAATACATATATGTATAAAATAGTAAAACTACACCTGCATATTGCTCCTAGAATTAAAAAAAAAAAAGTAGGAGCTACTGATAAAACATCTGGAGCATGAGCTCCTTAAATGGGAGCAACTTTTGTTTCTGTGAAGTATATTTAGTTTAACCACTTAAAACCTCGTATGAATCCTCATTATTGTTTGAGAGATACTAATGTACTCAATTTCTATTTTAATTCCTCGTACAAAAATGACAAGGAAAAGTGTGTTATTGTTGAATTACAGCAACTCGAGTTTGCTTTCATGCATCACAGGTTTGTTTTTGTTTTTTTTTTTTTTTCTTTTTTTCCTCTTTTGGTTATTAGGGGTTGGGGAATAGAAAATATTGCATTAGGCAAAAGTGGTGTAAGCAATATGCTTTTACTTCACTCCTAAGAGTCCTGTCTTTAAATCTTGGCAGTGGGCAAAAAGTCCCTAACCAAGTACCCAGGTGTAGAAAGTATGATTAACATCTAACTTGTTGCTTAGGAGGACATAACACACCATGTAACACAACTGAAAAGTTCATTCCAATAAAAAAAAAAAACAACCCAAAAAATGGTATTTGTAAATTTACATTCACTCTCTGACTGCACACTAATATTGAAGTTAAAATAGATACACACTTTCTGGCTGGACTTGATCCACCCTTTGGTGGTGGCAGCTGGGAGAAGACCGATGCCTACAAAAGTCAGTACGCTACTGGAAGATTCCTATGCAGTACTCTTTCTATGCTACTAAAGGTAAAAAAAACAGCAAGTTAAGAATTAAAACAAAAACTGCGACAAAATATTCTGCATTACTAAATTACAACACTTCTATATTTCAAGATCAGCCATTAAATTTGCCTGTTTTCCTCTACCAGAGTCATGAAAGCACAACACAGTTCCAAATTCAACTTGAAACTTTTGTCAGTTAGGCAAGCAGAGATTCTCTGTTGAAGTTCTGTTCAGCCACGGTTTTAGAAAATTAAACTGTATTCTTTTTCTTCCAATATTTATAACAAGCCACAAAAATTTAAGCCAGAAAATGGCAAAATTCTTAACACCTTTTATAATGACTTCAATATAAGTCAAAATGTTATATATATGTACATGTGTATATATGGACTTCGACATATACACATCCAAATTTTCAGAAAAATCTGAATTCTATCTTCATTTAAAAATCAAAATTTGTCATTATAGAACAGATCAGATGTCACCATTTGGGAAGAGGTTTTTTTTTTTTGGAAAGGGACCGGAGAAAATTTTTCCCTGATCTTCAGGAACCTTTGTGATACACGTTTGAAATGGATCCTTTGCAAATGCTGTAATATATAAAAGGTAAAAATGGCAGCTCCACCACATCAATAGAACAGAGTGGCTGTAAGGTTGAAAAGGTTTTAAAAGGGATGCGTGTTGAAAGTTTGCTTGGGATGACTTTCTAGTGGACATTTTAAATGGGTCAATTGGCAGTGAAAATGAAAACACTACAATGAGACTTTAAAAAAAAAAAAACAAAAACAATGAAGTAAACACAGCTGAGAATAAACACTTTCAAAACATTTTTAAAAAGTTAATTTAAATTTCTTACTGGCTTCATGAGATTGGTACTGTACAAAAGCAGAGAACTGATAATGTCTTATAGTAGGCACTAAGTTAAAAATGGTCACCTAAGGCATTTCTACAAATAGACAGTAACAAGCCAGCTTTGTACATCCTATTGGAAAGCTTGATGAAATCGTGGTAGGGTGGTGGTTGTGCTTAGACTGCTCGTGAAAGCTGCTGACAATGAGTGCAGAGACCCAAGACCTATACTATTGCTAGGATCTTGTGGATCCTGTGTCTGTGGTGGAAGTTGAGTCATAGAAGAATGTGCCTCCTCCTGCGTGTAACTCATTCCAAGGTTTCCCACCGAAACAGAAGGATTATAGGGAGGGCCATTGACGGGTATGAAGTTGAACAGCTGAGAAAAGTCCAATGACGGGGTGTTTAGAGGTTCACTAATAGGAACGGAGCCCTTGGAAAGGGAAACCTCCCCAGACCCATCATCTAGTGGCCCAACTTGTGGATCCAGCCCCAGTTTTGATGAAGATGCTTGAGAATCCTGGGATGAAGAAGGCATACCACTTTGCAACTCCATTAAGTAACTTTCGATTTCCCCTTTCAAAGGCTGTTCTTTTTCAGGCATAGAAACTGCATATGAGGTAGAACTGAGCGGATATTTCAACGATAGCTGGTGCGAAGGGTGGACAGACTCCATATCTATTGGACAAGGCAGCCCCAATGGTAATGATGTGGCAACCATTTGGTGTGCGGATGCAGAACTCTGCATGGACTGAATCTGAGTGTTGTAGAGATTTAATTGCAAAGTGTTTGTAAATGGCTTTGATGTCAGTTCACTGGAAGGTAACGACATCACTGGAAGCAGCTCATCCTTGATAGGCACAGAAACGTTGCAGGTAAAGGGATCTAGAAGGTCCATTGGCTCTGTTTTGACCTTCAAAAGTTCTTGGTTGTGACTTTTCTTCATGTGGCGCGTTAGGTGATCCTTCCGCCCAAATCTCTGTGCACAGTACTGACAGAGGAAGTCCTTTCTTCCAGTGTGCACTACCATGTGTCTACGGACATCCTTTCGGGTGTAGAACCGACGATCACAGTGTTCACACTGGTGTTTTTTCTCCTTCACTCCACCCGATGACTTGCCTGCATGAGTTTTTAGGTGCTCCAGCAGCACTCCTGTGCTTTCAAAAGTCTGCAAACATACCTTACAGGTGAGGTCACCGCTTGTTGCAGCATGCAAAGCCAGGTGACGTTTGAACCCAAGCTTGGTATTGTAGTTCTTTCCACATTCTTCACACTTAAAGGCCTCTTTGTTGGGATTGTGTGTATGTAGGTGATTCTTTAGGTGATCTTTTCGGTGAAACATTTTCTCACAATAATTACACTTGTGGGTTTTCTCAGGAGAATGAGTAGCCATATGCCTTTAAACACAGATATATTCTGTAAGTAATTATTTTGATCAAAAAACACACGTGCTCATTTTTTTAATGGCAGCTAAATACTACACTAAGGTTGCTTTTCAACAGAACCTTTTAACTGAAAGCATGACACTACAAAGACAGTTTGACAAATTAAAATATAGCAAAACACGAGCCATTTCTCTTAAATCGACACTTTAGTTTTGGTGGGTTTTAGCTACTGTAACAGGGGTATATGGGCAAGTATGAAAGTACTTGTGTAAAAGTCCATAGCCAAAAATTTTCAGTCCATACTCTTTTCTTGTGACAATTCCTTATACAAATGCAAATTCTATTCTCATTAAGAAAACAAACAAACAGAAAACAAAAACAGAAAACAAATTAAGAAACAAAATCAAAGACAATAGCTTGCAAACTTATGTAATTTAGATTTCTAGAAACAATCCAATGGCTACTTTTAATTAACACATCCTCTCTGCAATCAGCTGAAGGCGTACACAAATATATACTTTTACACGGCTTAACACGGCCAACATAAAATAGATAATATAATCTGAAAGATAAATAGAGTTTAATACCTTAGTAATTTGTACTTAGAAACAAAGGCCTTGGTGCAGTCTTGTTGTGTGCACTTGTAGGGCCTCTCTCCTGTGTGAGAGTATGAGTGAACCTTTAATTTCTCAACACTGTTAAAGGCCTTGTCACACAGTTGGCAAGGAAAGTTTTTTCTTGGTTTGGTTTCACCACGCTTACGTTTCCCTGAAGGGACTTTCTGGGTATCTCTTACTTCTGACAAATCACCAGGAATGACAGTGGCCATCGCAGCCTAAACCAGGCCTTCTTGTTGGACACTTGGGAATTGCCCAACTCCACTAAATGATTTAGCTTTAGATGGCTTCTCAAGTTTCATGTGGTCGTAAAAGAAAGCAAAAGGGGACTGGAAAAAAAAAATAAGAAACAACTAGTTTGTAACTAAACTTAAATTCTGAAGTTTACTTGCTATGTGATGCTTCTGAATAAAAGTTAAAAATAAAATTAGGTTCAGCTGGTCTAATGTAATACCTGTAGGTTTCTTTACACTATTTGCTGCAACTCTTATAATGCATTGCTCAGGATGAACAGATCCACATATGCCCTGAAATTACACCTCACAACCTTCCCCTCAGGCATTGATGGAGAACAGCAAAGTTTGTCAGGTTTCAGGAGGCATCAGACAAAGAACTCACTTCAGAACATATGAAGAAAGCTTTTGGCAGCTTCAGGTTTCAAAGGAATTAAAGTTGTGCCTGTGGTGTTTGTACAGACATACACACACATGCACGCACACATGCACATACACGGTTATCAAAATGAAAATCTGTACATCTTGAAATGCAACTGGGAGTTTGAAAATCTACATGAAAAGCAGCTTTTTGGAAGTTTGGGGTGGGGGGGGTGCGAAGCTCACACTCTCTGGTATATCGGCTAATTTTGGTTACTGTTTGCAGGTCTTTTCTAGCAAAATGCAAACATTTACAATAATTTCCAATGCCAAGTGAAATTCTCCTCTGCTAACAGAGCTGTGATGTCTCACTAACAAACTTCATGGATTAGGCTTTTTATCAGCCCAGCATGGGAAACCTGCATTTTCCTCAAACTACCCTGCAAGGCGCAAGGGTTGTAAGTGTGGAGGTTGAGGTTAGCTTGGGATGAAGGCTCTCAGACCTTCAGGAGGAACCTAGCCCCTCCTGATGCACTGCAAACTGTGAATGAAACCAGCAGCCTTTGGCTATAGGAGGTGTGTGATGCTCACATCTGATCTGTTGGCAAGGATGACTTTAAATTCACAATCTGGTAACGTATGGTAGCAACTGGGTGCCTGTGACTACAGGGCACTTAATAATCCTCCACTGTCAGAAGTCACTAACAGAATCACCAGAGCACAATTGCTACTTTAGATACTCAACCCAGCTCTGTCCATGGTGGGAAGGGCCAAATGCGAGGTCTGCGGCATCATGGACAGAGAGGAGGGCGGCAGGAGGGCTACACTCAATGCAAACAGCGGGCAGGGCTGAAAAGCCCCACATTAGGCCTTTCTCCCACAACACTGACAATTCCCCCCACCCTGGTGTCACAGCCCTGCAGCTGCCATCCAGCCCGGCCTCCACCAGCACAGCTGCGCAAGAACAGGCTGGGCTGGGCCGGACGGCAGCAAGGCTGTGGGCAGAGGCTGAGGCTTGGTGGCCGGCTGTCCCCATGCCCGCTTGCAGCAGGGCCAGGGAAGCCGGCAGCTGCTGGGACAGGTGGAGCAGAGCAGCCAGGAGTCAGGCAGGGAGCACCAGGCAGCAGCTGCTCCGGCCTCGTGCCACCTCCCCAATGAGCAAAGCAAACTCATCCCAGCCGGCAGCAGGGGAGGCCTGGTAAGCTCCGAAGCCCCTGCCACAGCCCAGCGCCGTGCTGGAAGAAAGCGAGGAAGAAGGAAGGCCTGTGTTTTCCTCAGGCTGTGACAGGACAGGAGGGCTGTGTCAGCAGGGAGGTAGAGAAGAAGGGAACGTGCCTTTTTAATATCTGCATGTGTATTTTTATGAATGCCTCAGATTTGAGATTTCCATTTGAAACACATATATATAGAGTAACATCTTTGTCTATGCCTCTTCCTCCCTCCTTCCCATAACTTCTCCCTTGTCTTTGTAAAAGGAAAGAAACACTGGCAGACCAAGATGGAAATTTGCTACCTTTCAACCCTATAGTCTTTGAACAGCAGATTAAGCTGTACCACACTCCTAAAGCAAGAGGTTTTGTAAGACCACCTTTCCTCCCACCAGATTGACATGGAAGCACTAACTTCTTTAAAGATACCCAGCAACAATAAAGGTGTTTCTTTAAGGACTCTTATTTCAGATTTGCCTCTGACTCATTCTCACTCATGGGATGAAGCCTAGGGACAACAATTCCATGACTGGGAATGTGCAGAGGTCTTCAAAGAATCAGCTTAATTTCAGTTTCTGTCTCATAAGCGATTTTCTAGCTTATGAGAGAAAAAAAAATTGAAGAGTTGTTTGGAGACTTGAAATCCAAGTATTTCTGCATCAAGAGTAAATGAAGACCAATTCCAAAGACTTCAATGGAGCTGCTAATGTAATTAAGAAGAGAATCTCATTCACATGATGAATTTGTAGATTGAAAGATTTTTCAATATACACTTTAATTATGATCTGGTAACACCATTTATTGTGCCTTCCCGTAAACAAACACACTGGTCTCCTATGTACATTGGCCTGAAGATAGAATGAAACTTGTTCTAGCCATTTTCACAGAATTACAGAATTGTAGGGGCTGGAAGACACCTCTGGAGGTCATCTAGTCCTCCTGATAAATGAAGTTCTGGGGAAGAAAAAGATACCAGCACACTCTATGCTTGTACATAGTGTTTTCACATCCTGTGGGCACCTACATGGCTTCACTGCACAGTAGCATCTCCAGGAGTGTCCTGAAGCATCTGATGCCTTGAAATGGGCCACTACCTGTTTGCAAAATCCCACCCAGCCTGAGAAGGGCAGGCAGCATTAGTGCAAATACTAAAGGGAACATCCTCTATTGCTTGCTGTATGGGAGCATGATTAATTTGAACATGCTGAAACAAAGCAGCAGGTGGCCTCCGTGCTCAACAGGTGACAAGGGAAAAAGCAGGCAGGACTGGTGGGATGCAGGCAAGGTTAGCTGTTGGGTGAAAAGTGGAGAGAGTGGGCAAAATTTTGAGGCATGGGGTACTGACAGTTGTGGGGAGCACTGCATATGGATAGGAACATCCAAGGACAAGACAGTGGAATAATCTGATAATGCTGAGGGCAAGTGGGGGGGAGATGAAAACACATCAAGCTGGAGAGACCCAGGATATTATTAGATCATGCAAAGGGCGATGCGCAGGGTCTGATTCTGATGCAAAGCATGCTTGTTGTAGAACAGCATATGAAGTTTAACTCTTAATGTAAACAGCACTGACAACTTCTCACTCCTGTTCTAACTGCAAGGATCACACCCAGGCTTGAGGCCATCCTATATTCAGGCCAATATTACGTTACTTCCATCTTCTCCAAAACCTCGGGTAACTTAGTTGCTGTACCAGATGTAACTCAGCACATTTGTGTGAATGAAGAATTCAAGTTTTGTTTCTCTATGATCAAAACTAATTAAGCTGATTTTGAACTGCATTTAAGTGTCCTTAACAATGCATTATTAGAACAAATATAGTATGGATTCAATCTTTGGCAATGACAGTGTTTTATTAAAAAAAAAAACACATGTAAACACTCTTTATCTCAGTATTGTTTCTCAACAGATGAGGCAATCAAGAACTTCAGTATTGATTCCTGAATAGTAAATAATCATCTTTTTTTTTTTTCTTGTGGATATATAGACTGAGCAATGGAGATACAACCTAAAAAAACACTGATCCTCAAATATTACACTTTCCAAAGACCAGCTGAAAGAATTTTATGAGTAATATTGCCTGTTTGTGTCTCAACATAATTATCACTTAAAATCCTCATTCTTATTGGTGCTTTCACAACTGCAGGATGAATGATTATATGCAGTATCAAATATAACAAACACATTACACGAAAGCTCATATGTAACACTATTTTTAAAGAAGCATATACTTAAAGCAGGAATAAAGCAGCTTCTGTTCAATGCACACCTGATGTTTGCCCACTAAAGTCCTCAGATTTTGGTCTTAACCAGTTCCGCTGACTCTTCTTGGAGGAAACCAGAATCCAGTACTTCCCATTTTTACTGGTCTGAAAAAGAAAAGGAAGAATGGACTAGACTCCAGCTAAACCAGGATATTCAGAAAGGCTGGAATGTGGCAAGACTGGGAGTTGGAAAGAATCAGGAAGGAAAAGTTAAAAGGGACAGAACCGATCCATGCACTGAACATTATGTACTGTTAATTATAAACTGCATGAATCAATTGCTCTTGCATTATCAGTAGCAATTATGCACTTCAATTTCCAATATACTTACATCATTTCAACTAACGCTATGCTGGACAGTAATACAAAGAAATAAAATAAGACAAAAGCAAAGAAGTTTTCAATAAAGTTAAAAACAAAAAATCCACAGACCACAAATAATTTAGAAATAACAGCAAAACATGTAAAACACTGGGCCCAGAATTGAGTTTCTTACTTAGAAAAGACTGAATAAGAGAAGATTTCTGGATTAGGCTCAACTCTACTAGAACCTAATGCCTTCATTCTGCTTAATTATACAGGAAATAGCAGCTTAAAAGGTGACCTGCAAAGGAAAATAAAATTAATTTAAAAAAATAATAAAGCATCTTAATGATGTACATGCTACAGGTAAATCCCAATAGAGGGCAAGTCTAGGTGTGCCTGAGCAAATCCAGAGGGACTTTCTGGAATTTCCCTTACATCTCCCTTTTTCCTGCCTCTACCCTTTTATGAAATTGCAGTACATCTCCCTTTTCCTGCTAGAAGGCCTCCTGGGTGATACAGGAATATAATGGAAACACACTCAGCAATTCATTCTAAGGGATAGGCTTACCCCCTCCAACTCATCTAAGTATGCAAGAGAAAAGCTCCATATAGCACGCATACACTTGGTGTTATATCAGGCTGGAGGTATCTGGTAGGAGCTATGGCATCATGCAACATTGCCCCCTGTACAATTTTCCTGTCCCATTTTCCATTCTCTCCACTACGGTTTTCTTTTTGGGTTCCAAGTTCAGCCTTGCGCCACCCCAACTTCTTCTGCTGGTAACTATGGATGAGAGAGAACCAGTGTGCTTGAAAACCTATCAAAGGTGAAAGTGCTTTACAGTAACCCACCAAGGCTTTCTGGCAGCCTAAACAGGAGTTTACCTGGGGCTTTTTTACATGCAGGTAGGGGGTAGAAACAGGTTCAGTACTCAAACCCAAATCGAAAGCTTTGTTTTTAACTAACAAGAAAGTGCACAGACACAACTCTCATCAAAACCACTTCGTTCTGGGGAGAAAATGCTGATGACTCCTTGTGCAGTCTCTCAGCAAGACCATTATAAACTAATTACCCTATGATTGTCTATATGAATACCCTAGTTACCCTATCAATGTCACCCACTCTGCACAGCAGAAGAGCTTCATTATCCAAAAGTTTCTACTACAGTAGTTCGTAATAAGCAGACAGCATTTCAGACAGACATAAAAATTTAATGAACTATGTCCAAAGGGACTTAGTCCATTCAATATTGGTATTTACAGACTATTTCCAGTTTTTTTTTTTTTTTTTTTAGTTCTATCTACAGTAATATAATGCCCCCTCAACTCTTCAACGATTATTGTGTAGAATTTTCACATCTGAAGGAGTTCTAGCAAAAAGCAGATGGCTTCAGGGACAGGTCATCAGAGGCATGGGAAGACTATCAAAGCATGTGAAACTGGAGCAACTGGAACAAGTAAATAAAGAAGGTAAATGCCAAATGTAGCTGAAATGCTGAACTGAATGAAGGAGAAAGTCAGGTACTCTTATTCATTGTCTTACAAACAAAGCACAATTGCAATGCAGTGAATCCAGACGTGGGCAATTCTGTACCTACTACAATTAGCTGGGATCTCAGTTTCTACAAGACCAAAGCCTACTCAAAGAGCTCAGAGAGATACATACAAAAGAGGAAGAGATTCTGTCACATTTGACAGAAACAAATGTAAAAAAATACATATATTTAATTCTATACTCTACAGCAGTCAATCTGCTAAAAGACTTTCTTATGCACAGAATGCCAAAGTTGTCCACTACAATGCTCATTTTCAGACTATCTTCCTCAGAATCTTCTGGTGCTAGAAAATCTCCAATGCAGAATACTGGACAAAGATGCACCATTCTTCTTGTAACTGCCTATAGTTGCTAAGCTTTCAATCAGATGAGATAAGAACAATTTTTTAATCAATACTAAAGTTTAAGTTATTGTCCACGTGAGGCAGAGAAGCACCACACTGCAAAATGCACTGTTGTATGTGCATGCCTGAAATCCATGTGGGAACTTCTATAATTTGTCAGATTATAATTCTAAGAATGATTCAGATCTTCTGCTATCTGTCAGGCCTTAACGTTGCTAACCTTAAAGGCATCCAGATCATTGCCAGTTAGACTATATTTGAATGAACAGCATCTAAAGAGTCAAAGGGAAAAAAAAAAGGCCCCCCATGACTAAGCTAAATTTATTCCTGCTTTTGATAATAAAAAGAAAGTCATTCTTTTTTCCAAAATTCACAGGTCATCCTTCAGAAAGAAATAGGTGCACTTAGAAATGCTTTAAAATATAATGCAATATGTAAACTAAAAGGATGATGAAGACATGAAACAAACACAACTAATAATCCTCCTCCTAGCTCGCATTTCTTATTTTAAATAAAGGAAATTATCGGCGTCATGGTTATTTTCTTTCAAAATAGGGTTATAATGTGAGCACAGTGTGGACAACACAGTATCTGTCAGGAAGGGTCACTGTGCCTTGTGTGCAGAACAGCGCATGGAGTTTCAATTCTCAAAATTAATGGTTGTGAAGCAGAACAAGGGTCCTAAAATACTAGTTGTGATAATGACAGAATAAAAGATTTAAGGGTACTACAGAGTCATCTTGGGTTTTAAATCTTTCTTTAAGTAAACAAAATGAAAAGGGGTTATTTACCCTGTGGATGGTGTGATTCTTTAAAGGCTGTCCACGCAGATCCCAGGTGAGCATGTACTCTAATGAACAGGATCAAGTTCTCTGAAGATAGTGACATACCTCCAGGCTGGGCCTGTGAATCCTCACGACTGCTACCATGAGTAGCATAAGTGAAAGAACTCCCCAGCTGTGCTGTTCTTATCACTACTACACCTAGTGTGAGATGGAAGTACATGGGCAGAAGATGATGGCCTCACTGGGAGCACGGTGTGAGGACAGGAGAGCTGAAACATGGACTGACAACTCAGTTTGGGATGAGAGGGGGGATGAACATGTGCAGTCAAGGAAGAAAAGAGCTGCTGCTGCTGCTGCTAAGAGTAGTAATGGATAAAACCAAGGATGGCCCTGTCTAACCTCTCTCAGATTTGCCACCAAGGAGTAAAGATTCTTTCAGAGTAAAGGACAAAAGATCACTTTCGGTATCCCTGCGGAAAAAGTGTATGGAAGAACCACACCTATTGTAGTGTAAGTAGCCATTTTTTGTCTTTTTTATATCAGGGGATTAATAAGTAGCTACATAGAAGCAAAAATACTGAGGAAACCCAGTCTGGCGCACCAAGCTGCCAGGGTGATAGCACCAGTCAGTGACAGCAAGGGCAGCAGATCTGGAGGAAGCCTCAAGGGACAGTGTAGCCACATCCCTTGGTACAGAAGAGCTAAACTGGCAGACAGGCAGCACCTTCACTTCAGTGCAGCAGAACTGAATGAGAAAACTCCTCACCAGGTCTGTGTGTCAACTAGGGCAATCCAAATTGCACAAATGTCATCAGGACTGCTGAAGATGAACAAATCTACCACTGGGTTAAGGCAACCGAAGAAGGAGAACCACTTAGCCTGCTCCCATCTTCTTTGCTCTATCAGCAGTCAGTTCAGTTTCCAGAGGCGTGGATTTAAACCTTTTTCCTTTCAACTCCTCTGATAGGACAATTGCTGAAAAAAGCAGGCAAAAGCATGCTGGAATCTACAGCCTTTAGGCTTCCCCCCGATCATCAAGGACCACCATGCCTACTGCAGGCTTGTACTGACTGCAGGACAAATGGTAGTCAGTCTCTCTGACTTTGTAGAAAAATGTTGCAGTTTTGCAGCAGGAGAAACATCTCAAAATAGCTGCAGAAGGTCTAGCCTCCAACCTGAGTCTTCCAGAGATACCTCCTACTGACAGCGAACTTGCATTATGGGATAATCTCAGCTGCAAAAGTTGACCACTGAAAACGGTCAAGCTTGCAATAAAAATTCATGCTTAACTGGCAAAGATGCTGAAGAATGGATGACTTCAGGGGTGTCTTTCTCAGCATTCAATTAAAATCAGTCTTCTGACAGATGCAGGTGTCTACATCACTATTTGTTCTTGGCAGGTGATCTGATACACACTCATTTGAACAGCATGTCACTTCTTAAAGGAAATAGCACAGCCTGCTCACCTTTGCTGCCAGTGTTTAGAAGGACAAGGGTAGGAAGATGTAGATTCTCCCCAGTTCATTCTTGTGAGATTGATAACCAGAAGTTAGTTAAACCAGGGTGCCTACCTAGGCCAGAAAGGCTCATGTCTGCAGTTCCAGAAGATTATACTTCATTTAATTTTCTGTCTGCTTTATTGTGTAATTTGGAAGAGATTTGAACAGCAAACAACATGTACACACACGTTTCACCCCTAAGCAAAGAAGACACCTGGCACGACTGTCTATAAACACGGCACTGCCAAACGGCAGGATGGACGGATTTCAAAGCCTAGAGCACTGCCTTCGGCCACTGTGCAGGATGGCAGAGAGAGGAAGGGAGCCAACAGGTATGTTATCTTGCACTAGCAGAGAACTGGCTAGGTTTTTTAAGTTGATCTTCTCTCACAAGCCTGAAGAAAGATATGAGAAGACCAAGGAACACACATGGAGGCCCCAGTGGGTGATGAGATGACACTGAGAGGTGGGTGGCCACTTGGCCTTTTACAGTTTTGGATAAGATATACTGTAAATAGATGTTCAAAGATGTAGACACTGGCTCAACTTTAAATAAGCATTTCATGTAAGAGAAGCATGTGTACATACACAAACTAATCACAAAAGAAACAATGAT